AGGAAGGCTATTATTTTTTTTAAGAAAATGAGAATATCTGGATTATAATGAATTTTAGTATTAAATAGCAATAAATGACAATAGTAACAGATAGTGACAGTTAAGTATGATTACAAAAGGACATTATTACGTAAAAAAATTATTTTTAAAAGGGGTATGAAGCCATACAAAGAACACTGTAGTTACAACAGAAAGTAGTTTTGTAGACTGGAACAGACTTTGAATAAAATAATATTCAAAGCAGGGCTGGGAAGGTGGCTCAGTGGTAGAGTGTCTCTCATGCATGAGCATTAGGCCCTGGGTTCGATTCCTCAGCACCACATAAACAGAAAAACCCGGAAGTGGTGCTATGGCTCAAATGGTAGAGCACTAGCCTTGAGCTAAAGAGCTGAAGGACAGTGCCCAGGCCCAAAGTTCAAGCGCCATGACCAAAAAAAAAAAAAAAAAATCAAAAATCAAAGAAATGACCTTGAGTCATTAATAAATAGGTTAACTTAAACTCAGAGAATTTAAAAAAACAGATGAACTATTTCTTTCCTAATGCTTGATAAATGTGCTTCTGCTCTTTGTCACCCCTGTGCCTATTTGCATGAAGAAATGTCCCACGGAACTGACTGGAGACAGAAGTTTTATTTAGAATTCTCTCTTCCAGATGAGTCATCCCCCTGACCCGGAAAGAAGATGATGACCTTGAAGGAAGGCACCAGTGAACCTTCTAAACCTAAGCTCAGAAGGTAGCACCATGATGTTTATTGTAGATGTCAAAGAGAAAAACAAAATCTCAGGAAAGTGTCAACTGTTATTTTTTTCCCCACTACTTTTGCTCCAGGTCTTCATATCTCTGAATAAGCAAAATGTGATTAGCATTATAAAATACCCAGTTTTGACAATTAATTTCATATTCCTAAATAGATTTATGAAGAACACTATTACTATGCATGAATATTTTCTATTATATAAACCTCCACAACATTTATGTTTTGATCTATCATTACTAAGAGTTATTACAACTTATGGAAAAAAAATCTTTCATGCCCTATACGTTTTTCAGCTTGTCATGGTCCCCTCTTCCTTGAAGTCAAGTAGAGCAGATGAGAAAAAGGGAATGAAGAAATTTTTTTTCCCTTTATATACAGGCCTTAAAAACAAAACAAAATAAACTGTTTCCTTTATTTATTGCTATTCAAGTAACTAAAATACCTGGCACATTAGTTGGAGTGTAAGTACTTACTTTAGAAATAACTGGATCTTGTTTATACTGCTACCAAATGCTTGAAATGTTTAAGAACCATTTAGAAGCATATGGAATATACATTTTAAATATTTAAAGCCATTTTATTTCATTCATATATAGTTGTACTGAGAGGGTTGGAAAAGCATACTTTCAGCTATAATGAGCAAAATGATGGCACAATTTCTAATGGTATAATCTTATCAATCAACGGATAATAGTTAACTCACTTATTAAATAATACACAACTGAATTCCTATCATGTGCTTGGTACTAATTTAAGCTAAGGAATTTATTTGTGAACTAAATGGATTTACAGCAGATAAGCCAATTGTCTAAAGCAGGACTAGAGGCAGTATGAAGTAGCAAGCAATTAAAGAGATGGCCTCAAGTCTGGGCTCCACAACTCATTAGTTCTCTGATCTTGGGTAAGTTACTTAACCTCTCTACTGTTTTGTCATAATGAAATGGAGATAATAATAGCAGCTACCTAACAGACAGGGTTTGTTAGATTGAGATAGTTGTTAGAATTATAGTCTCTGTCATCACAGAATTTTCCTTTAAGGATTCTTAGAGACTGAATTTTTTCCATGCCTGTTACTTGAGAACAAATATGCCTTTGACGCATATTTGCACTCTTATATAGTGATCAACTAAAACTATCGTGTTGAATCAATGAAGGTCCAGAAAAAGATAAACACATACTGTCTCTATTAGAAATGAGTGGGAAAGGACAGCATCTATCAAGTTTCATTTCCCAGAAAGTCAAGTAGATGGTTAGAATAGTCAATTTTAGGAGTTCATTTTAGCATCTTTAAAAAAAAAATCTGTTCCCAGTCCTTAGTGAAGAGGCTGTGGCCAACTAATGAACAACTAATTCAATCTCAGCAGTTGATTTCCGTGTCTCTGGACAGATTTTCTAAGGTAGGCGATCTTGTTATGGGTAATATAAAGCCTAGTTATTAACTGAATGTTTGATGATGAAATAGGTAAGGAAGCACATATTTGGTTCTTAGGGCTCTTCTGAAACACAGCAACTGAAAAGCAGGATGGTGGGAGTCCCACTGATTTCTCACAATGTTTCAGTTCCAATGCAGGTTACTATTCTTTGCTTAGATTCTGGGCAGTCTGCCAAAATCCAAGAAGGAATGTCTTTGCTCTTGGTGGGGGACTAATGACCTTGCTGCAGATGCAGGCCCTATCTTGAGAATGTGCTAAAGTGTCAGTTGCAAAGCTAGAATTTAAGTGCTTCTTCTGTTATTCCACAGAAAAATGCACATATTCCTAATTTACATATATTTCTGTAATTCAAATGATAAGCAGTATCAGATTCTCTCATACATTTATTTTTGCTGTTATTCTTTATGAATACAAGCAAAGAATCCCTTCCTTTAAAAACTTCTTCAGATTGGTTTACAAAAAGGCTTTCCTTTTTTTGAAAACAGGTCTTTGTAGTCCTGGCTGGCTTCAAACTCTTGATCCTCCTGCCATAGCATCCCAAGTGCTAGGATTAACAGCATATACCATCATGTCAGGCTTGGTGACTCTTTTCTTTTCTTTTAATAATTATTTTATTGAGATTAAGTGAATACATAAATTTCACAAATTTCACAGTATTGTGGGATAGTGATACTTAAAGTCACAAACACATTTTAACCTTCACAAGGCAAATTGTCATTATCATGGTCTATAATGTTTGTGAATTCTGTGAGCATTGACGATACAATTATTTTTTCTACATCGATAGGTGGCTCTTTTCTTAATCAATGATTTCCTTTACATGCTCTTCTGAAGAGGCCAAAAGATTCTGAATCTTGTGAGGCATTCATATACATGGACCATCTTTTGTGTTACTACCCACATTCCAGGGGTTAGGCCTGGCTGGTCTACTTTGTAGCAACAACAACACAGAATCAAGCCATGGGAGTTGTAATTTGGGGAAAATCATTTGACCTCATCAGGCTACATTTTAAGATAGATGAAACCTTCAGTTTCCAAATTCTAATATTGAGTTACAAAGAATAGAGAGATTAGATAATCTGCATCATAATGAACTTGTATCTTCATTCAGAAATTCAGCTACTAAAAGTAAAATTTCATAATGATTTGATAAGTATGTGACAATATTGTATGTGGGATCCTCAGTACAAACCTTGTGTGACCTTGAGCAAATAATTTTCTCTGGGCCTTAATAAACTTATTTTTAATATTCCAAGTGGGGATGTTTGTCAAGGTGTTCTGTTAAAGGCTGAATCCAGTTCTAAAATTATAGTTGTAGGTTTTCTGATAATAAGTTTCTTCTTTTTATTAGGACAGAAACCACTGCAACTAAAATTTAAATGACTAGTTGTCTGACAATAGGAAACAGTTACTATAAAATAACACTGTCCGCTTCAAGCCTTTTATAAAGGTTAAATGAGTAACGGCTTTGCCTTGAAAACATGTTTTTTTTTTTTTTCCGGATTCTGGGCAATTTCCAGTTCATTCAAGCATTTTTTGTTGTTGTTGTTTTTACAATCCTCACTCACTTCAGTATTTTGAGATAAAGAAGAAAAATGTATCTGGATTTAAGTACGACCACTGAGGCAATTTTTCCAGTCTGGTAGCAAATGTCACCTTCAAACAGTGCGCAGATTACTCTTACGTCACCGCTCCCTCCCTGCCTCCCTGGCTACATCAGGGACAAGACGTGGAGATCCAGATCCAGATCTTCAACCACATGATGGTTTAGCGGTTTACAAATAGTGCTTCGGAATTCACACAACAGGCCACCATAAAGAATATCTGCCCTAGTTTATTTGGCGTGTGACGCTAACGTGTCCCTGGCAGTGGGAAAGGAGTTCCACGAACGGGTTTAAATAACATTTTGTAAAACTAGATATGGCGGAGACAGGTCTCCTGCAAGGTGAGTAAGCAGTACCTTAACAGCCCTGAGCTTTTTGCTTTCAAGGGCTGTGTGACAAAAGCTCTTAATAACATTACGACTTAAGAAAGAAAAAAAGAGATTAGAATACGACTTCCCCCTCCCATCAGACCTCTACGTTCTTATGAAATCCTCTACTGCCCTTGGGAGAAAATCAGGACTCTCGTTTGTCCCCTGACCTGGCAGCAGGATTGAGATTACACTTCTCCAAGGCAGCGATTGCTCCAGAGCCTTCGAACAACTCCCCAGGGGAAAAAATCAACTTCCTCCCAATTACGAGGTTACTGCGACAGTTCCCAGAAGATGCTTTACAAATAGCACCAAAGACAACGGTCTTGCACGGGGGCCTTCCAAAACCTCATCAAGCACAGTAAATCCCAGTGAAGGGCACGAAGCCAGAGGCAGTGCAGGAGCTAGGGGCCCACACTCACCATGATTAGGAATTGCGCCGATAACTTCTGCACCTGCAAAAACGAGGGTCCGGTAGTCAGGTCACCTTTACGGCGGAACCGACTCGGGGAAGATGTGTGGTGCTCGCTAGAAAAGGCTCGGCTCCCTGCCGCGACGCCCCCCGGGAAATGTAGTTTCGGCGGCCCAGGCTCTGGCGCGGGCTCCAAAGCATTTCCTCAAGGCTGAACTACAGTTCCCGAGAGCGCAAAGTCTCATCGCGCCTTTGTCCTTGCGCCCCTAGCCCATTGCAAAAATAGTCCCCGAGGACAAGCCTCTGTGATTGGAGGACAACGACGAGCGGATGGTTTGAGTCCGGGAGGGGAAAGGCTGCCTGATGGCGGTCAGCAATTGGCGGGAGAGAAGGCGTGTGTAACTTGAAAGAGGACGAGACAGATCCCTGAGCGACATCACCTACACGCGAGCAGCCGAGATTACTCAGTGCTTGATGCTGAGCGTGGGAGGCAAAGAGATCTTCCGCTGCGTCAAGCCGGCCCGACCCGGAAACAAACCTTTTAAAAACACTGTGCACGCTGGTGAAGGGCGGAGGGAACTGATGTGTGCGGAAGACGCCACGGCTTCTCCCGTTGCTAGGCGACGAGGCACGAACACCTGAGCGCAAGTCCGCGGCCGAGGCTTCCAGACTCCAGAAAAGGGGCGCGCGCCTTGCTCGGAACAAGCCCACCCGTTCGTAGCGCCGGGGGTCCCACGTGTGTGGCACTGTCGGGGGGGCCTGGGAGAGTGTTTGCGGGGCGCCTCCTCCAAGGCCACCGGGGCTGCGCGGTGAGACAGGTGAGTCCCAAGGCCAGACTTTTCCGGGTAGGCTCCGGCACGCGGTTGGGAGCCTCTCTTTCCTCCGGTGCGGATCTGCTCGGATGTGCGGGCAGGCTCAGAAGCGGGTCCCTTCTCCGCTCAGAATATTAGAGGCGAGAGAAGGCAACTGGGTTCTAGAGTGCACTTGAAAACGCCTTGTGCAGTGTTGTTATGCCAAACCTGCGTTCCAAGAAAGTGGGGCAGCTGACTGGGAGGCACTGGTTGTTGCGGGCAGAATGTCAGCTGGTAAAACCACTGAAGTTTTCATTTAAAATGAATGATCTCTGAAACCTGTTGCGCGTGGGGAAGCTGTGATGCTCTGGAGCAGCATCTACACAGTGAAAATGAACAAAATGTGGTCCTTGAGGTAACTGGTCTAACGTCGAGGCTTTCTCTAATTCGGCTAAATGAACGCCAGGTCGTGTTTTCCTGAGTTTTCATTTTCATGAAAATGGAAGACTTACTATTTTGGGAAAGAAATAGAATGCCTTACTTTCTTCTTTGATTATTCATTAGCGTTTAACATGCTTGAGTGATAGGTTGAATCTCTATTTATTTGGCTGTCAGGAAACATACTTGCTTGTTTTCCTCATGTGCATGCAATTGGTTGTGCCTTGTCAGTACTTCCAAGGTTGTATATCTTCACGTAAGAGTGCCTATATTCATTTATCTGCACTGGGTCCCAAAGTGAACTCATTGATGAGTTGCACTGATTGAAAATGCTACCACTATGTTAAAAACTCTCGTTTGTTTCTAGTTCTGAGTTTCAAGGTATGCCTAAGTAATCGTTATTTCTAATAAGAATGAGCTCTACTATTTTTACAGCGTTTTCTACTGAACAAATGTATGTATAGAAGTATCACACAGCCTTTGATACAAATAGCACAAACAGCTTCTAGTTCCATTATGTTGGTTGTGGGTAAAATTACAAATTTGCAAATGTCTTGAGTTTGGTGGCACTAGCCTATAATAGCAGCTACTTGGGAAGTGAAGCTCAGGATTGTTGGTTGAGGCCAGCACCCTGGTTCAACAAAAACAGACAGGCATGTTTCACAGCTGTAATTCTAGCTAGCTGGGTGGCAAAAGTAGGACTGCAGCCTGAGACTGGGCCTAGGCAAAGAAGAAAGACCCTATCTCAACAAACAAACAAAAGCAAAAGGGGCTGAGGGTGAGGTTCAGGTGATAGAATGCATCTTTAGCAAGTGCAAGCCCTGACTTCAAACTCCAGTACTAACAGACCCCAAACTGTGAAATAGTGAAGGATTGGGACTGTCAATTTAATAAATTGCCTAGGGGAGCACAGGAATACCTATGGCACTTGGTTAAGCTCCAGAGATTCAAAAATGAATATAATTGTTGACTTTTAGGAGCACTGAATAGCATGGAATACAGATAGTGAGAGTGACTGGTTAGTAATAGTTAACTCAGGGCTGCCAGGGCTTTAAAATGAAAGTACCGCCTGAATGAAGAAAAGTGGACATCTGTGTTAGGCACAAGGTAGGAGGTAGAACTGAATTTGCAACGTTGGAGGTACTGTTTGGATTAGCAGCAAGAAAGCATATATACACACATGCTTCAAGTTCCTGATTTATGGACAAAAGAAACAAAAGACAAAACCAGGGAGCTGCATTGTCAATATTATAGTTTTAGTCCCATGTAGCTATTTAAATTTAGGTTTATTCAAATTTAAAACTTAGTCTCCCAGTCATACTTGTTACGTCATGGGCATATGTGACAATATAGAACACTTATCACAGAAAGCCCTATTTGCACAGCACTGCTAGACTTAGAGGAAGCAAGATGTGATGCTGAATGAGAAAGAGCAGTATATCTTCATGGGGAAACAGGGCTTCCTTTTACCCTTGGCTTCCTTATGTAAACGTAACTTCTGTAATACTATACAGCAAGGGTCTTGTTAGGGGAAAGAAAAAAAATGATTCTTGCCTTAACCAGTTGTTTTTATTCTGGAACAACACACATTTATTGTCACCATATGATTAAAAAGAATATTTGGGAACATGACACTGTCTTGAATTCTGAGCTTGTTACCATCAGCAAGCTCAGTAGTCATTTTCTGTGTGAGCCTCAACAGTATCTGTCTGCTGCTCTAGAATATCTTAGAAAGCTCATGATCCTGCCTCATTTTTAGTAGATGGAAGACGGTGTGCCCCATGTAGAGGTTTGAAATAAAATGGTAGGTTTACATGGTTAAGAGAGAGAGAGGAGCCTAGCTAGTATATGCAACAGGTCTACATTCATGCATGATTTGTAGGGGCCTTGCCCTTGGAAGGCAGATGTTCTTCTCTTAATCCACACTTCCAACCCCCATGTGTGATTTTTTTTTCTTTTTGACAGTCTGGGCATTGAATTCAGGGTCTCTTGCTTGCTTACTAAGGGAATTGATCTACCACTTGAACCATGCTCTGGCTCCTTTTAGTCTTGGCTGTTTTCAAGGTAGGATCTTGCTTTATGCTTGAGCTGAGATCCTCCTACATGTGCTTCCCTATATAGTTGGAGAGGAGAGGTCTGTGATCCTGTACCAGCCATTGTGTTTGCCCTACAACTGGTATAACAGGCACTTGCCACTCTGTCCATCTATTGATCAAGTTGAACTCCCATGAACTCTTTTTGTTGGGGCTGACTTTTGAACCTCAGTTCTCCAGATCTTGGCCTCCTGAGCAGCTAAGATTAGAGGCATAGTCACTGATGTCCAGCTCTTTTTTTTTTAAATAAGAATAAAGTTAGGTTCTTTGAATTTATTTGATCAGTTTAGGTGACATACAGATTATTTTTAAAAAATATCTCAAGTAAATACATGGTATTTTTAAATGATTATGTCTGGCATGTGGCTCATTCCTGTACTTCCAGCCATGTAGTAGACATAAATCAGAGGTTCACAGTACAGAGTAGCCCCAGATTAAAACGTGAGGCCCTATTGGAAAAAGTAACTAAAGCAAAAAGTGTTGGGTCATGGCTTCAGTGATAGATTATCTGCCCAACAAACTCAGGGCCCTGAGTTCAAACGCCAATGCCCTAAAAAACAAACAAACAACACATTCACTGCAGTCCTAAAATTAAATTCAGCCATAGTAAAAATAAAAGTGCTTATAGTTTAATTTAAAATTATAACCAAATTGAAAAAAAGTTATAACCAAATTGAGAACAATTTTATTTCTATTTTTAATAATTTTTTATTTACAAAATTTAAACACATCCCAACATATTTATTGTGTGTGTGTTGTGTGTGGTGTGTGTGTGTGTGTGTGTGTGTGTGTGTGTGTGTGTAATGTTGAACCAAGCACAATTACAAAACATTTGATTAGAACTTAAGAATGGAGAACTACAGGATAGTTCAACAGGAACAATATTAATCATATAATGTTTATTAATTTAGTTGTTACAAGTAGTCAAGAAGTAGACTTGCGTGGAATTAGTGGCCATATCTTCTTCTTGAACCATTTATTTCTTCATTTCATTCGTTCATTTAGAAGTACTAGGATTGCACTTAGGGCTACCCAGTACCTCATGCCTGCTAGACAAGGGCTCTACCATGAGCCATGCCCTAGTGCTTTTTAAAATGTTTATATGAAACGAGCAAAACATCATTTATTACAGTTTTTAAATAATTACATTTTTTCTGAGTGCATTCAAGGAAACCTTGAGTTCCCTTCTTTAAATTGGAAGCAGTAAAATTGATTGATTTTTAAGTCTACTACCTAGCTATGTGACCTTGAACAGGTTTTTCTTGGTCTCTGTAAGCCTTAGTTTCTAATATCCAAAAGTCCAGAAACATAATGAAGCAATTACCTTTGTATAAATATTCTTTTTTTTTTTTTTTGGGTCTGGTCGTGGGGCCTGAACTCTGGGCCTGGGCGCTGTCCCTCAGTTCTTCAGTTCAAGGCTAGTGCTCTACCACTTGAGCCACAGTGCCACTTCTGGTTTGTTTTTTTTTTTTTTTTTGCTTATGTGGTGCTGAGGAATCGAACCCAGGGCCTCATGCATGCAAGGCAAGTGCTCGACCACTGAGCCACCTTCCCAGCCCATAAATATTCTTTTTAATCAAGACATATAGATGATGTTTGTAAGCCACTGTTTCTAAGAATAAGACTCTGGAAATAACCCTTAGGTCTAGAATGAATAGGTAAATTGAAAATGAATGGGCCATAGCAATATACATTCTTATAAATAAATATTAAAATAAATAAATATTAAAATATCAAATATTAAAAATATTTAAATAAATATTAAAAATATATTGAGTGAAAAATTACCTAAGAATATATGTATTATGATCCATCTTCCACAAAACTAAAAAGTGTGGAAATGCTATTATTTAGATATGATCTGTACCTCCAAATTTCGTATGCTTTTGGTTCCCACTATAACCACGTTGATAGGAAATGTTCTTTAATGGCAGGTAATTAGGTTGTAGGAACACTACCCTTAGAAGAAATTTATACTCATATCTCAGGGGTATTGGGTTTGATGAGTGAATTCCTATGCAGCAAGGCCAGCTCATATAGCTGGCTGGTATTGCAGGGGTTTGGGTCATAGTCTTGAGAGACATAGTTCTGAATGTTATAATTTTACATGTGGAAGTCCTGAAAGATCAAAATCCCTTGCGTCCAAAATAGCAAAAACATAATTATGGAAAACAATTTGAGGCATTCATTTATGTTTTTGGAAGGGGAATTATTTTAGAAATATTTAAAATCAAAACATAACCTTCTATAGGCCATAATAGCATGTATATTTTGTACAGCAGAAACACTGAAATATACTAGTGACAGCCCAGTGGATAACAGTGGTAAGCAAACTATTCATAAACAGGTCAAAAAGTGGATTGTATAAATGTATATCACTGTGGTTAGTAATTATGTGGGCTCAGCTTTATAATTGCAGTTCTCTGAAATATAGCTATGGATAGCCTTAAATTTTTATGAACTCAATTAAAAACCACAAAGTCTAACTACTACATA